GGGCTGTGAAGTACAGGATAGGGAATACAGTCATTAATACTGTAATAAGCTATGTATGTTGCCAGGTAAGTACTACAATTATCTGGGGGATCACTTTGTAAATTATATAAATGTCTAACCACTATGTTGTATACCTGAAACTAATAACACTGAATGTCAACTGTAATTGAATATATTTTTAAAAGAGAGAAAGAAGCAATTCTCCCCTTCAGGAGGAATGGGAACTCCCTTACTCCTAATTTTCCCTGAATCAGAAGTTCCACTGAAGCTGAAAGTAAAAGTTGTCTAATTGACTGCTGGTTTCATGTCAACTGTGGGCTTACTCTTATAGTCTAGTAGCATGAATTTCATAGCAGTGATTGCTTAAGGAAGGTCTGTTTTTGCCAACACTTTCAAAGTACACAGCTCTTTGTGTACTTTGGATCCTCAATTATTGCTCCTAGCAAGTCAGGGGATCTCTGCTCTCCCCCACCAAGACATGGTAAAGGGTCTTTGAAAATGTAGTATAACAGGAAACACTCTGCTTGATAGGAATAGTGAGGCAGAAAAGGCTGGTAGCAGCAATGTGAGCATCACCCAGGGCAACGGGCAGGCTATGTAGCTCTCCCCTAAGCATGACATCGGACCCCCCAGGCAGTCTGTCTCTTTTTAGAGACAAGGGAAGAAGATGTAGCATGACCTGTTGGCTTTTCTCTACGGGTCCAACCCACCTTTCCAACTTTATCTCAGGCTGCCTCCAACCCAGACCTTCAGAATCAAGGCATCCACCCTCACACTCCCTGCACTCTGGCTACTCTCCATCCTGACACTGTCTTCTCCATGATACCCAGTATGCTTCCTGCAAAAAGCCACCATGACTACTAAGTCCAATCAGAATGATTCTCTCTAAACTCCTAAACCAAGAATTGCTGGAACTGCTTAGTTCTATATACTCTGTGTTTGTTTTCAGTTATCTTTATACCTGTATCTTTCAATTCCCTGACTCGAGTATCATCACCTTGATAAGAGACTTTATGTTTTCCTTCATCCCCCACAATGCCTGGTACAATAACTACAGAAGACACTTAATTTTATTTTTGTAATAAGCTATGCAAATAAATAACTTTATTTGTATGGTTTGTATTTTTAGTGCTCAAAAGTACAATATTTTGAGGCAGCAGTCATGAGAAAAGCTAACAATTTAGGCTGACAATTCTCTCTTCTGTAAAAAGATGAATCCAGCAAAACTCTTTCTTTATGAGATAATCAACACCAGCCCAGTCCTCCAAGTCTGTGCAAAACCCTTTGGGGCTCACAAAAAAATAAACTAGTCTCAGTCAATAGACAGCCTGATCAGAGTAAAGTAGAGAAGCAAGTGAAACTGTTACTTTAGAATCTAGACAGTCAGGGCGTGCCAGGGAGTCTCTCCCATTGGCCAAGATGACACTGGGGTGGTTCTTACATTGAGCATGCCAAAAGCTAGCAAGATAATTGGATAGAGAAGAAAAAAGCCCTCCCCTCCCTATGCCTATAAGAACAGCAGGCTTGAGCAGGAAGAGAGATGATCTTTGAGACAGAGAACGATGGGATTATCTTTGAGAAGGCAGTCCACCGTTCTCCCAGGTCATGTGGTTCCTGAATACAGTCTCTTTCCTTTTGCACCAGAACTTGCCTCGTGAGTTTGGCTTTCATTGCCGCAGGTAACCAAACCTAAGGTTTTTGGTTCGGTTATAAAACCATTTGGTTTAGGGCTTCCATTATCATTGCATTGCTGACTTCACAAATGACAGTAACATTTTCTCTCTAACCTTAATTCATGCTAAATTTCAGAAAATATCAAATGAGAGACAGAGAAGACCAAGACATCTGAGCTATGGCACATGCCCACAGCCAACAGCACAGGCAGAAAACTGATTCTAGCTCATCTGGAAACCCAGAAGAGCCCACCTTGCTTTACCGTATGTGCAATCAAACAGCAGAACACAGTGCTTCCTCCAGGTGGAAACAAAGCACATCCAGTAAACAAATCTTGTTCACATATAGGAGCAGGGAAGAATCACTATTTGTTTTTCTGGAATGCAACGTTTTATACACAAGAAATCCTGTAGCACTTCAAGTTCTCAAGATGGAAAGAAAAGTGAGCTTTCTCATCAGAGTTGGCATTCCATGAAGGGCATGTTGTCCATCTGCTGTAGGAAACATATTGGTAGATACATTAAAACCCACTTATGAATGGAGAGCCTCTAAGCCTCATTACACAGCTATTAATAGGAAGTAAAATATCCTTTATTTACTCTGTACTCTTGCACAACAGGGTATCGGGAAGAGAATATACTCATTCAATATTAGATCACCCTCTATCATCATCAAAGAGCAAAGAAGCTATGCCCTTTCCCAATGGTACCTGACCATAAAGAACAGACCAGCTACAACAAATCAGAATGCATGTCTCAACGTAACAAGTGAGCCTAGCTCCCTCTGGTGCTTGAGAGAATCAGAGGAAAGCAGTGTAAAGGGGGCTGCTGGCTAGATCAGAGCAAGCCACCTTCAGCTCGGAGACCTTCCCCAGGGGACAGGATAAGTGGGAAACATCCAGACCCTCTGAGGATGATCTCACCTTTGAACACATAGAAACTCCTGTTACATAAGAAAATGGCTCTGGCATGAAGAGAGATGATACACCTCTCTTGGTCTTACCTCCCCAAGAAACGGCCACACAATGAGTGGGGATAATGTGATTGTATAGACCAGCGGTCGCCAACCTTTTGGATCTCACGCGGACCACCGGTTGGCGACCACTGGTATAGACTATTCTCTTCATGTATATTATTTCACTTAAATACTCAAAGAATCCTTATATGGCAGAGATTATTCCCATTTCACAGACAGAGAAACTAAGCCTTAAAGGGGTCCAATCACTTCTGTAAGCTGAAACTTGAATCCAAGTCAACCTGAAGCCACAGCCATGGTCTTGCCTTTTGTCACCCTATCTCCTAGCTCTCGAGTCTTCTTTTTTTAAAAAAGCACATTGTAAATAGTCTCCCATTTTAGCTCTAAAGACACAACAAGTTCTATTTATATCTCAACAAAGGAACTAATAATTTGCCAACAGGATCTTTAGATTCCTCTGTTAAGGCACTCTTGTAGCTGCCTGGGCAACACTGAACCATTTATAGATGTAACTGCTTCACCTGCTCCTAAGAAAAGTTAAATATTCACATTTATAAAAAAAATTTATAAATATCTCGAAATAGGCTTTTAAAACTAGAAAAGAATACTGATGAGAAAGGGAGGAAGGAAAGGAAAAGGAAGGGATTCAATACAATAGGAGGACCACAGTGAAGGACCCTGAAATGAAGGAGAAGCACCTGTAAGATTCAGAGAAATGGTCTGTGAAGTGCCGTAGGGCAGAGGGCCAAAGTTTTTGTCTGCTCGCTTTTTACACGGAACTCTTGAATCCAGTCAAGGTACCACACACAGTCCTAATAGTCTCCCCATAGCTTATCATATCTGTGTTTGCTGTTCCTCAAGTCTAGAGAAAGCAGAACAAGAAAATGCCTTTACATTGCTCTTCTCCTTCTAAGACCACTCCCCTGGCTTAAGTCTCGCTGACCTACATCAAGAGCTTAGTACTAGCAACGATTCTGTTCTAATTGTTTTAGTGGACCATCCCACCTAATCCTCACGATACCCATTTTTATGACCCATTGTGCATAAGGCCACAGAGCTGCCCGACTGTTGGGTAGGGCCAGGATCCCCAACCAGCAGCCTGGCTCAAAGCAGGCAGGACAGTCACTTCCGGGCCCCCTTCTCTGCATCTAGGCAAGCTGCATTACGCAAGCGACAGTGTTGATGACTGCAAAGGCTATTGCACAAAACATCAGAAGAAACACGGACCAAATACCAAGAAAGCGCACACCTAACTTTGTCTTCTGAAGGTAGAGATGGGACTCTAAGAAAAGGCAAACCGATGCAACAGAAAAACTTGAGGAAAACTATTGCACTATTAGACTCTTGGATTTAACAAGCATTAGATAGCAGGCTCAAAATTCACCAGGCACAGTGGTTTACTGAGCTTTCCCCCAATCTAACAATATAGGAGGAATAGAGAAAAGTGTTTCTTTTTAAAAATCTCTTCCCATTTCACATTACAGTATCAATATTTATGTAGTCTACACTTCATAACAAAAATGTTAAAGCTGTAAATAAAAACAAATATCAGCAAACCCCACAAAGAGCATCAGTGCTGTAAACATTCCTCCAGGGCATTCTACGCAAAACATTCTCTCACCCTCAACCCACTTCACTGAGCCCAAGGAAACAAGCAGCCACTTTTCCTCAGGGAAGGTCAGCAGGGTTTCAAAGCTTCCTTCTCTCATTCTCCTCTTCATAAAAACCATGAGATAAAAACACACAACAATAAACCACAAACTATAATTTCACCTTTTCAAGTTCAAGAAATGCTCAGCCTTAGCCTTGGGATTCACACATGTAAACACCTCACGTAAGTTGCTTTCCATCCAGTTTTAAATAGAAAAACACACGGTTAGAAACTTTTTTGAAAGTCCAATATAATTTTGTCTATTTTATTATTTTAACACATGATTAATTATGAACTCTCCACATATCTTCCTTTGCTTATTTAACATTTATTTAAAATTCTTTTTAAATTGTTTAAAATTACTCTTTAAATAATTCTACAAAACGGATGGGAAGAATACTAAATCAATATTTTATTTCATGGAATCCAGTCAGTGCTTCTAAAGCAGCAAAAGCGTATTTCATCCTATAGTACCACTGGCCATCTCTGAAAATAGAATACATTTCCCACTTTTAAACACACCATCTTCCTAACCTAAAATAAAAAGCATTCCGTTTGTGAAAACGCAAATCTCTTTTTTTACCCCCCCCCCCTCAAAAAAACACACAACATCCTTCCCATTTCCACATTACCCTGCCTCCCAGCCATTTCAAAAACACAATCACACTTCATGATGCCAAGGTGAGTAGGAGGGACTTACAGTTGAAGATGCCCGGAGGTGGATGTTCTGTCACCAGGAGACAGTTTTCTTCATCACTGTTGTCCCCACAGTCGTTCTGTTGGTTACAGACCAGTGAACCAAGATACAAGCATTTACCGCTGGTGCAGGTGAATTTGCACTCTGAAAAAGTACAGGGAAAGCATGCAGTAATCAATGCAAGTGTGATACTCTTGAGTTATTTCTTTCTTCCCCATTTGCAAGCCATGACCGTTTGGGAACTCAGTCTACCTGGAGATCCCAGGAAACCGAACTCAGAGAAGGGCTCTCTTAGTAAGGACCTTCCTTCTAGGAAATGCACAGGACAGCGCCCAGGGGCACTGCCATACATTACTCCCTGCACGTCTCTATCCCACAAAATGAGTAACACAGGTGCTTTCTTCCCATGACCTGCCAGCAAAAGTCATAGCTATGAGGCTCTTATTTTCTTTGAAAAAGCCCGTGGCATTTTTCCATGCCTCCAGCGCTGAGGCTACAGCAGAGCTTGGGAGCTCAGGCTTGGTAAAAGGAGGCACATACATTTTATTTTCAACTTGTCACTAGGTGATGTGAAGCTCTGAGCAAAATATTTAACCTCTCGCCCTAGCTGGTTTGGCTCAGTGGATAGAGCATCGGCCTGTGGACTGAAGGGTCCCAGGTTCAATTTTGGTCAAGGGCACATGCTCAGGTTGTGGGCTCAATCCCTAGTGTGGAGTATGCAGAAGACAGCCGATCAATGATTCTCTGTCATCATTGATGTTTCTGTCTCTCTCTCCCTCTCCCTTCCACTCTGCAATCAATAGATGTGTACTGAAAAAGAAAAAAGGAAAAAAATAAAATAAAA